TCGTGATCATCTGAGGAAATTTATTATGTCCAATGATGCTTCATTAGTATTATTAAGCTTTCCTTCTCCTTAATCCTGTTTCATGTCTAAATTCAGTGGCATATTTAGGGGGTGGGCCATTAAGCCATTTTGAAATGAAAATTAAGCCCTCTGAATGCTCAAAATTCATCTCAAGCCATCTGAAATTCGTTGGCTTCTGAGGGTCCTCAGACCACCAGCTTCAAGGGGTTTCGGCGAAACCACTCATTCGACCACAACCTCAGGTATTTTCTAGATACCCCTCTATCTAATTTCCTTCTAAGGTTAAACTTTTGAGTTAGATTTTCAATATTTACAGTTCTATTGCTAGCTATTCTTGGGTTCAGCTGATAAACCAAATATTTAGACGGCTATCCAATTAAGATAGATACAGAGGTCCTGGCAAAAATGATCCAGATTCAAAACTCAGAGAATTGTTCTAAATTCGTACCCACCTATTTCAGTATGGCAAGTATGGATCATCACAGTGAAATAAGGATTCTATTGATGGGCAAGTGCGGCAGTGGGAAGAGCTCGGTCGGAAACCTTTTACTTGGACAAAAAGTATTTCAAGTTAGCAAAACTTGTATAACTAAAACAAAACAGAGTCAGTTAGCAAGCCGTACACTAGAAGATGGCAGAGTATTAGTTATAGTTGATACACCAGGTTATTGTAATAGTCACCTGACAGAAGAGGAAACTCAGAAAGAAATAGACAGAGGAATGGAATTACTAGCACCTGGTCCCCACATTATTATATATGTTCAAAGTGTACGTCAGTGTCTGACATCAAGTGATGTTGAAATACTACAGACTATGACAGAGAAGATGGAATTTTACAGTAACCATTTCTTCATACTTTTTTCTGGAATTGATGAGCTCGACACAACTGTACAGACTCTACCTGAATATGTACAGAAATATAACCAATTTGCCAAGCTTCTGAAACAACAAACACCAGTTCATGTCTGCAGTAAAGGGTTTAATGATAATACCCAGTTCAACTTATTGATTCACGCTATAACAATGCACTATGAAATGAATAGACATCGTCATCTGGAGCTGGAAAAGTGCATAATTGAGTAAGTAACTATTTACTAGCGGGCTGAGCCTGTGCTAAACTGTATAATAAAGGGTGTTGAGTGAAATAAGACAAAGTAACCATCGCCGCAATGACTGTCAATTTGTGGTGGGCATGACTGTTCCTTTCGTTTTTCTAGTATCGCTTGACCCTGTGACCTTGAACTTTTGAACTGATTCGCACGCAGTCTTAATTTTCTCCGAATATATCTAATATTTGAGGATCTGATTCAAATAAATAGGTTTAAAACCCGACACCTTCGGAGGTGGGTAAAAACCCCACAAAACAAGGCCTAGTTTTTCTATCTCTACGCCAGTCGACAACTTACTGTTCAAATAGCTAGCAGAGGCTGGAATAGGGGCAAATGTTTCTGTCTACTCACAAAATTTGTGCTTCACATATGTATGTTTCTTTTTTTCAGGAAACCCAACCCAGTTGCTTTGGCAGGTAATGAAATTATTGAAGAACTCACTAATAAAAATGATAATAATAATAAGGGGAAGGGGGTTTCTATTGGTTATTGAATACAAAAAAAGTTTTCCAATTGCTTGAATTTGGATGAAATCTTGTCAGCATGACGTTTATTGATTTACTTGAGCATTCTCGATTGCAAAACAAACGTACTTTTCTAAAAGTTTATTGTGAAGGCGTTGGCATAATTATATCTTAAAATACACTTAAGTTAGTTATCGGTCCAACAGAATATGGATGTATTCTTACCAGTAATTTTATTTCAGTGTGATATTTTTATTCCAGAAATAATGGAGACAGACGCTGCAGCCATGCCAACAATAAATGACACAAGACATATTATTTTACTTGGTAAGAGTGGAATTGGTAAAAGTTCGCTTGGTAATTATTTGCTGGGAGCCAAGAAGTTCAAGACAAGTATAATGGAAGAGAGAAGAACCAAGGAATGCCATATCGAGCTAACAGACCACATGGTAGTAATGGATACTCCTGGATTTTTCTCAACGCTCCGGTCAGATGTGGACGTCGCTAAAGAAATTATGAACACTATAAAAGTAAATAGATTGTTGATACATATCTATATTTTGGTTCTGAGTGCTGACGAAAGATTTTCAGGCGATGAAAAAGAGTCATTAGAGTTTATAAAGAAACTGTTTGGAGNAAAATGTTATTAAAAATTTGATTATAGTTT